CACACACATGACGTCCTCCTTTCATTCCTTTCTCTGTTTTCTTCCATTGATTATGTTGTCATTTTCCATGTTCCTCTTGTACACAGTTACTAATTTAGCCATATGCGCACAAGCGGTCAAGTCAAATTTGTCACTCTATGGAACATTGGTCCCATGGCTAACATTACTCAACTCACTCCTTACCAACTGTTTTCTCCGGGCTTCGGTCTTCATAAGAATACCTCTGTGGCCTACGAAAATTTAAGAACCCTATACAAAGCAAGGTGGAAATAACATGTATGTGACAGCCGAGTCCTACATTCAGCATTGGTACGGCAAATGGTACTGAAGAACAGTATCTATATAATGTTATGGCAGTACAACCATCCGCGATGCTTGTGACCTCTGTGAACATCCACCGTTTCTTAGGATTCCAAAGTCTCTCGGTGCTTCAATTAGTATCGGGGAAAAAACTTAATGTTTCATCTAGTAAACCTCTAATACTTGAGTTGTATTGTAGACGTTAGTGATATAGTGTTGTGTATTGTAAAGTTCTCCGCTGAATTGCTCTTCTCTGCCCTTACTGGTTGAGCTGCCCTCATTGTACCCATCAGCAATGTCTCCATCACGACTTATCGTCGTTTGTCAGTGTTAATCACACGAGAGACTATAACTCCTTTCTTATCACTACCCTACTTATCCATCCTATCAGCCTATATCAGTTGCCATCAGTTGCAGTCATCCTATGCTCCCGTCCAGCTCCGCATAAGTCATATGGGTGCAAGCACTCCACTGCTAATACGAAAGGCGAAACGAATTTGAGAACTTTGCACTCCGACGCCTCTTACCTGTTCCTATCACTTGGTATCCCTTGTTATCCCTCATCATTTGTGTTTTCCTTCCTACGCTAGGAAGCGTATGGATGTAAACGTTCTACTGTAAACGCCAACAGCGTAACAAAATTGATGACATTTGCATTCCTATCGCTCGTTATCAATTATTATCAATCTTTATCACTTTTTATCACTCGTCTTTCTGCTCACCTTTATTCCTTGAAATTCTGAGTACCCTTTGACCAATGAGAGTGAATGTCTGTAGACAGTCGGGCATACACACACGGTTAGCGGATTGTATGCTATAGAAGGATAGGATAGTTCACTATTCTCCATATTTTTTGCTTACCTTTACAGTCTTTCTTTCGCTAGCACTTTCGCCTTCTTTTTCCATGCCAT